TTGGTTCAGTGCATGGGAGAGAATGGCTAAAGGAATGGCCAGTGGTTTCGGGGAGAAGTTCAGACACCAGGGGGTGCAGAGGGGCCCCTCAAAGGCCTCGGGGCTCCACAGGCTCCTAGTCCTGCTGGAGGGGAGCCTTTCCAGGAGCTTCTGGCCCCGCCCAGCCTGAGGGCCTGCAGCCTGGGGAGGGGAGCCAGGTGTGGCCCATCTTCCTGATGAGTTTCACCTCCTCACCCGGAAGTGGCTCTGCAGGAAGTCAGAGCTGAGCGTCTGCGGCGGCCGAACCAGGGCCTGAAGCTCCAAGAGCCTGGGTCAGGTTCCTCCCCAAAGCCAGGCGGCCTCCCTGGTGCCCTGAGTTCTGCCGGTCATCCTGGGGGGCCTCAGCGCGTCCTGGGGGGGCCTCAGCACGGCACCACGATGGGTTTGCATCTTTACCAGACGGCTCAGAGCCCTCCTCCTCTTCTCTGCCAACTCGCCCAGAGAGAGGTAGGTGTGGGGGCCTGCAGAGGAGGTGGGGGGAGTAGGGACAGGGGGGTAGGGAGCAGGCAGGTGGGGTGGTTCACTGCAGCCTCCTCCTCAATGGAATAATTCTGATGAATTTGGGAGCTCATGGTTGTCCGGCGATAAGGGGTTAACGTAGAAAAGAAGCTGGTGTGTTGGCTGGTCCTGGAGGTGGTGTTGAAGGTGGTGATTGGATGAGATGAAGAAGGGTGGCTGGAGGCTGGGAGAAGGGCGGCCCTGGGTCTGTTCGACCAAACACTGTGGAAGCCAGAGGCAGACCTGAGGGCTGTGAGGATGCACATTATTAATTCCTTGTGAGAGATGATGAGACAGATACTCCTTCTCCGTGTCCATGAGGACAGGGCCTGTCTCATCCGTCCGCCCCACACAGAGTCCTTTATGGGAGCCTCAAGGCCCAGGGCGTGGACATCAGCCGGACAATCACGTTCTAGGCCCGGCACCGGCGCTCCCTGGGTGTGTTTCCACGGGCAAGGAGCTGAACGAAGGTTCCATTAATCAGTATATAAATAACAAAGGATCAGCTCTAGGCAGTTTTGCTCAGTGGATAGAGCATTGGTCTGCAGACTGAAGGGTCCCAGGTTCGATTCCTATGAAGGACCCAAGTCTGAGTTGTGGGCTCAGTTCCCGCGTCGGGGGTATGCAGGAGGCAGCCAATCAATGATTCTCATCATTAATACATCTCTCTCTCCCTTTCCCTTTCTCTCTAAAGTCAATAAAAATATATTTTTTAAAAATAATAAAGGATCATTTATTTCCCTTAAAGCAGTGGTTGGCAAACTGTGGCTCCCGAGCCACATGCGGCTCTTTGGCCCCTTGAGTGTGGCTCTTCCACAAAATAGTCTCTGGGGGAGACTATTTTGAAGAAGTGGCGTTAGAAGAAGTTGTTTAAAAAATGTGGCTCTCAAAAGAAATTTCAATCGTTGTACTGCTGGTATTTGGCTCTGTTGACTAACGAGTTTGCCGACCACTGCTGTAAAGGGTGGTTGTGAGTAGTCAGTAACAGAATGCACAGGGCGCAGTCAGGGTTGGCTGCAGCCAGCCGCAGAGCTGCGGTGTGGTCGCAGGTGTATCTGGCTCCAAGGTCCTCACCATCTCCACACGCGAACGTCTGTCTGTATTGCACCAGGTCCTCCCCTCTGGCTCCAGTGGCGACACAGGGCCCCCAGCAGTCCCTCTGCCCCGTAGACATTCTTGTCTTCTTGAGGGAAAGGTTCTTGGTGGGGGGCTGGGGGGCTCCTTGGGCCTGGCAGGTACATGGAACCAGGACAGGCTCTGCCCGGCCCATCAGGGGCCCGTCCTGCTCCCAGGTGAGCCTCCTCCCGCTGATCCAGCACCGTGAGCAGCTGCACCTCAGCTGCATCCCTGCCTCTGCGGGTTCTCTCTCTGCCTGAACCCAGTGTTCCCTGTCTACCCTCCCCCCTCCCCCCCTCCCACCTCCGTCAGGCCCCCAGAAATGTCAGAGCGCAAGCTGGGCGCGGCCCTCCTGCTGGGGAGCAGCAGTGTGGTGTGCTGTTCCTTTGTGTGAGGCGCAGCCCTGCCAATTAGCCTGCTCTCTGCCCACACGCCCAGGGCTCAGAGGGAAGCGGGCCAGGCCTGGGAAATTAGACAGTGGTGTCCGGGAACATGGAGGGGGCAGGAGCACTGCTGTTCTCCCCCGTCTGGGCAGAAATGGGGGGTGGAGTTGGAGAGCGGGGTTGAGGAGGGTGCGTGAGGGGGAGGCTTGCAGGGAGGGGGTCAAGCTGTGCACCTGCTGCAGGAAGTCCCCTGAATTCCAGGTTCCCAGGGGTAGGCCCTGTGAAGGGCCAAGCTCCACGGCTGGCCCCTCTCCAGGTCCAGAGAGCGCTGGCACCTGCCTGGGGCCGGGAAGAGTGCCCCCAGGCCCGGGTGTGGCTCTCCCTGTCTGTGTCCGCCTCATTCCGGGGACAGGGCTGGCTCCTCCGGGCTCGCTTGTGAAGGGCGGTGAGGAGCTGGGGTGGAGGAGGCTGAGTTTTGGAGCGAGGGCGATGTGGGTTCTTGTGCATCCACTCCGTGAGCCTCAGCCCCTGCCCTGCTCAGTAGGGGTTTCTTCCTCTGAGACACAGAGAGAATAGACATTTCTGCCTCCGGGGAGGAGAGGAAGGAGGAAAGGGAGGGAAATGCTGGAACACCTGGCCCATAGAGAGCGCTCCCAGGTTCTGGCCTCGTCGTTTGCAGACTCCACAGAGAACCTGTGATAGGATCACTGGGCTCTCTTCTGGGATGGAGCCTTACCCAGGCCCTGTTGCCGCTCCGAGGAGAGGCAGCTGGAGCAGCAGGAGGGCAGAGGGCAGAGATGACCAGGGGGTGTGAGGAACGGTTCCCTGTGACGCCCGGATGCCACACGGGGAGCCGGGGGCCTCCTGTGTTATCTCACTCTGCATCGGGGAACATTCTGAAAGCTCGGGCAGTTAAACGTTAAGGAGACACAAGAAATGTTCAAGACGGGGATGCCTGCTGCGCCAGGACCCCTAATTAGAAATAACATCATCATCGGGTAGTAGTTGAGCAAACCTCCAGTGTTGATGAAGGAGCAGAAATGAATGTGCCAGCGGAGGAGTCATAGAGCAGTTGGTTAACATCCTGGTGGGTCCGAGGTCTCAGGGATGAGCAGGTGTTTGTTGTCCTCATGTCCCGCTAAGTGGCAGTGCCCCCAGACACACTTGTTATATCGCGAGAGAAGCCTATTCCAATCCCAGACCTTCATGTCAGGTGAATTTGTCTCATTATAATTAATAAGGACACATCGAGGTAACTCCAACTACCAAAATAAAATACGATGGCTGAACCCGGTTTGGCTCAGTGGATAGAGCATTGGCTTGCGGACTGAAGGGTCAAGGGCATGTACCTTGGATGCAGGCACATCCCTGGTAGGGGGTGTGCAAGAGTCAGCTAGTCAATGTTTCTCTCTCATCGACATTTCTAGCTCTCTATCTCTCTCTCTTCCTCTCTGTAAAAAATCAATGAAATATATTTTTAAAATATATATATATATTTTTTTTAAATAAAATACCTTGTCAATGACTAAGCAACAATAGAATAATAGGTTTATACAGAGATTTTCTTTCAACATGCCAAGACATTTCTCAAAGGAAAAATCATAGATTATCCTCAGCTTCCATATTGGGACTGAGTTATCCACTGCTACAGTCAGTATTGATATCACTCATTCATTCACTTCATCTCTCTCTTATTTTCCCATTCATTCAGCTACATGTGTTGAGTGCCGTATCATAATGGGTAGAGGTGGAGAGACATTAAATGCTAAATAAGAAATGGTACATTCCTTAAAGGGACAGTGTCCATTTGGGAATAATCCAATGGCAAAGGCTGGCCATGACTAAACTTGGACCAGGATGGGTGTCTATGCTAAGAAGTTGGGCTTTGATTGTGCAGGAGGTGATGGCCCTATGGAAATATTTTGGGTCTGGGAGTGTGTATTCCAGGAGCAAGAGGCGTGCAGGATGCAGAGTGAAGGAAGCCAGTTAGGAGGGGAGTTTCAGATCTCCACTCTTACCTTGTGACCTCATGGTTTACACCGTCAGTGGTTTCTACTTTCTTTAAAATAAAGGAATGCTCGTGTGGCTGAGTTGATTGAATGTCATCCTGTGCACTGGAAGGTAGGGGGGGCACATGCTCAGGTTGCCCACCCCCCCATCAGGGTGTGTACAGGAGGCAACCACTTGATGTCTGTCTGTCTCTCTCTCTCTCTCTTTCTCTCTCTCTATCTCTATCTCTCTCATCAATTAAAAAAAAAACATTAAAAATAAAATAAAGTACCTCTGTTTTTATAAGAAATCTGATTTTTGAAACTAAGTATGTTAGACTATTTTGGAGCCACTCTATTTCTATCTAAAACAAGGTGGGACGCCTCCCTGACTCCCCCACCTCCTCCAGAGCCCTGAGAGGACCCTGTAACCTCCATTGGAAGCCACTGTCCCAAGGCCGCTTGGTTGATCTTGTGAGACTGCCCTACAGCTCCGCCTCTGGGCCGCCCTCCAGCCTGAGTCACAATCCCCGGCTGAGGAGCCTTCGCCCTCCAGCTTCCCTGGCTGTTTTCCTGCTCGGTATTTTTAACGGGCTGCCCACCTTCCTCGGAATCAGTGGGCAACATCACACATCCCCGGGGCCATCTGGTGCTCCGCTCCGCGGCCCAGGCTCCTGCACGGCGACAGGAACCGGGACTCACTCTGGGAAGGAGAGGCGCCGAGGGCCACCGTGGCTTTACCATCCTTACGGTTCCCCTTCTTCTTCTTCTTCTTCTTCTTCACGGTGTCTGCAGGGAGCCCTCTCCCGCACGCAGTGTCCCTGGTAGGTTCTTACTTTCTCATCAAGAAAAAAGAAAACCCTGGCTAAGCACATCCGTTGTCTGACCTTGGCAAAGACAGTGTCTTAGGAACCCTAACAGAGAATAAAAAGGCCCAATGTTTGTATTTCAGGAGAAAAAGAAAAGGGTGGAACACACATACACACACACACACACACACACACACACAGAGGAGAGAGAGAGAGAGAGAGGTTTTGAATGTAGACCTGCAGCATCATGTCACCACTATCTGCAGGAAGAGTCCCAAGTGTGTCACTCCCCGCGCTGTTCCCATCTCACAGCTGGGAGAGCTTTTAGACTGGGAGGTTCTGAAAGCACGCTACCTCTGGCGCCCCTAATCTTCCCAGGGTTTGGGGGAAAGGAGGGCAAGTACGTTTTGTTTTGTTTTTTGTTTTGTTTTTGTTTTTGAAACTGCCTTCTTTTTCCTGAATGTAAAAGCCATACCTCTGACAACCCCCAAAGCGGTAAGGACACAAAGCCGCAGGTTCTCCGCTGGGGGGCATATGCAGTGTCCCCAAAACATGTGTACACATTCGGAACAATTATAAAGGCGGTGTTTGTGCTTCCACTGCCTTTTCAAACTCCCAGCAGCATTTTAGGATGAATTCCCTTTGTTCAAAGCTTAGTGTGGATGAAGAGAAACAAACGTCAATTGAACTATCAGCTATTAAAATGTGTATACATTTGGGCGGGGGAGGGGGGTCATCCTGTATATTATAGACTATATATGACTAATGTAGCCACTTAAATAGTTTGACACCATCTTTTATTTATTTATTTTTACATTTATTTTCTATGCTTAGGTTTTGTTTTGTTTTGTTTTTAATATATTTTTATTGTTGTTGTTGTTTTTACAGAGAGGAAGGGAGATGGATAGAGAGTTAGAAACATCGATGACAGAGAAACATTGATCAGCTGCCTTCTGCACACCCCCTACCGGGGATGTGCCCGCAACCTAAGTACATTCCCTTGACCAGAATCGAACCTGGGACCTTTCAGTCAACAGGCCCACACTCTATCCACTGAGCCAAACCCGTTAGGGCTTAATTTTTTTTTTTTTTTTTTTTTTTTTTTTGGAAAAAAAAACACAACAAAACATTTTAATTAAATCTTTATTGTTGAAAGTATAACATATATTCCTCCATGCCTTGACCCTTTCTAGCCCACCCCAGGCCTCTATTGTCTGTGTCCATGGGTCATGCATATATGCATGTAGGTTCTTTGGTTGATCTCTTTCCACCTACCTTCACTTTCCCTCTGAGATTCCACAATCTGTTTCATGCTTCTGTCTCTGAATCACTTTTATTCATTAGACCATACCTATAGGTGAAATCATGTGATACTTGGCTTTCTCTGACTGGCTTATTTCTGGTGTCTTTCACTTAGCATAATACTCTGCAGGTCCCTCCATACTGTTTCCAAGGCTAAGAGATCCTTCCTTTTTTACTGCTGCGTAGTATTCCATGTTGTAACTGTTCCACTGCTTTTCTCTCCACTCGGCTGTTTCCAGATACCAGCTATTGTAAATTGTGCTTCTGTGAACACATACATTATTTCTGATTGGTGTTTCGGGTTTCTTAGCATATATCCTAGAAGTGGGATTACTGAGTCAAAATTGGCAGCTCCATATTTAATTTTTTGAGGAAACTCCATACTGTTTGCCATGGTGGCTGCACCAGGCTGCATTTCTACCAGCAGTGTGCTAGGGTTCCCTTTTCTCCACATCCTTTGCTTTTCGTTTTTTAATTGATTTCAGAGAGGAAGGAAGAGGGAGGGATAGAAACATCAGTGATGAGGAAGAATCATTGATCCATAGTCCCCTACACACCCCACACTGGAGACGGAGCCCACAGTCTAGGCATATGCCCTGACCAGGAATCAAACTGAGACCTTCTGGCTCATAGGAATTACCGTGTGAATAGCACATACAGCTGAGGAGCAGATCGAGAAAGGACAGGAAACACCTGCAGACTAGTGGGAAGGGCTAGATCAGGAGAGGGGCTGAGCCAGATGCCCAGGCAGCAGACCGGAGGGAAGAGGGGTGTCAGCCACACACAGGAGGGTTCTTTCCCGGAGAAGACGGAGGCCCAGACGGAGGCGGGGCTCCACAGCTCAGAGCAACGGAGCCCTGAAAGGTGGCAGGGCTGCTGGCCACAGGGGAGACCAGAGCCTGTGGGAGGTAAAGCCTCAGGGTTTCTTTTTTGGGAGGGGAAGGGGGCGGGGGCTTGTTTGGGATTTTCCTTTCAGCTACTCCCCAAAGGCTTGAGGCTTCTGTGGAGGGAGGGCGGGGCAGATTCCAGGAGCCTAAGGAGAGGCTGGGGTGGAGGGCACTGGGGGGAGATGAGGGAAAGCGGCAGCAGGGAGACCTGCACCGGGTCATGCCCCCCAGACCTGAGTTCATTATGTTGAGGTCTGATTCCTCTATTCCTCCTTTGCTGAGAGTTTTCATCAAAGACGGGTGTTGGATTTTGTCCAATGTTTTTTCTGCCTCTATTGATATGATCATGTGGGGTTTTGCCTTTCAATCTGTTTATGTGACGTATCACGTTTATTGATTCGCCAATGTGATACCAGCCTTGCGTCCCTGGAATACATCCCACTTGGTTATGGTATATGATCTTTTTAATATATTGCTGGGTCCAATTTGCTAATATTCTGCTGAGGATTTTAGCATCGATGTTCATTAGAGACATTGGCTTGTAATTTTCTTTGTATAATAGTTGTCTGTGCCTGATTTTGGAATTAGGATAATGCTGGCCTCATCAAAAGAGCTTGGAAATCTTCCTTCTTCTTGGATTTTTTTGGAACAGTTTGAGGAGGAGAGGTGTTAGCTGTTCTTTGAAGGTTTGGTAAAACTCCCGTGTGCAGCCTTCCGCACCAGGGCTTTTGTCTGGTGGGAGTGTTTTGATTAGTGCTTCTATTCCACCCGTTGTTATTGGCCTATTCAGGGGTTCTGATTCTTCCTGATTCAGTTTGGGAAGATTGTATGTTTCTAGAAACTTGTCCATTTTGCCGGCATATAGTGGTTCATAGTATTTTCTTATAATTCTTTGTATTTCTATGGTGTCCATTGTTGTATCGCCTCTTTCATTTCTGCTTTTATTTATTTGAGTCCTCTCTCTTTGTTTCTTGATGAGTCTGGCCAACAGTTCATCAATCTTGTTTATCTTTTCAAAGAGCCAACTCTTGGTTTCATTGATTATTTATTGTCTCTTTTTCTTTTCTTTTTTTTTCTTTTGCTTTTTTTTTTGCCTCTATGTCATTTGTTTCTGCTCTAATATTTATTATTTCCTTCCTTCTACCTTCTCTTTTTAAATGTATATATTTTTATTATTGACAGTATTACAGTTATCTCTGATTTTCACCCCCCCCCCCTTTACCCCTTCCTCTTACCTCCTACCCATAACCCCCTCCCTTCTCCCCTGTCTTCACTACCTATTGCCCATGTCTTTGGGCACTGCATATAAGAATATAAGTTCTTTGGTTTATCTCTTCTCGTCCCCCAACCCCACACCAAGGTATGTCAGTCTGTTCCATGCCTCCATGCTTCAGGTCTTATTTTGTTGGTCAATTCATTCTGTTTATTAGATTCCACAAGTAAGTGAGATCATGTGATATTTATTAGTCTTTCTCCGATTGGCTTATTTCACTTAGCATAATAGTCTCCAGATCCATCCATGCTTTTTTTTTTTTTTTTTTTTTTTTTTTTTTTTTTTTTTTTTTTTTTTTTTTTTTTTTTTTTTTTACAGCTGCATAGTATTCCATAGAATAAATGTCCCACACCTTTTTTTATCCATTCATCTACTGATGAGCACTTGGGTTGTTAACAAATCTTAGCTGTTGTAAATAACGCTGCTATGAACATAGGGGTGCATATATTCTTTTTGATTGGTATTTTGGTTTTTTTTTAAAGATATATTCCCAGAAGTAGGATTGCTGGGTCAAACAGAAGTTTCATTTCTAATTTTTTTTGAGGAAACTCCATCCTATTTTCCACAGTGGCCGCACCAAACTGTATTCCCACCAGCAGTGAACTAGGGTTCCCTTTTCTCCACATCCTCCTCAGCTCTGGTTGCTTGTTGGTGTTTTGATGATAGCCGTTCTGACTGGTGTGAGTTGATATCTCTCTGTGGTTTTCATTTGCATTTCTGTAGTGATTAGTGACTTTGAGCATTGGGCTTCTGAGAATTTATTACATTATAAATACTAACCAATTAATAAGTAGTGGCTGTTCATGGACCAATGAGGAGAGTATGGTTATGATTAACCCACTTCAGAGTGCGTCAAAGGGAAAACTGAAAGCAAAATGTGTTCATTTATTGTGAGCCATTTAGAACCTCAGTAGAGTATGTGAAGAAAGAATCATCCCTCATGGTATCACTCCAAAGATAATGCATTTGGGTATGTCTTCTTCCAGCCAATTTTTTCCTAATTCATGTTTTCTAACAAAAGAATTACCTAGATGTTTAAACAGTAGTCTTTTTCTTGACACTTCATATTATATAATGTACATTTCCCCCGTGTGATAAAATATTCTTTGAAAAGACGTTGTCCCAGTGTCCCTGGAGACTGAATGTAGTAGCTGCCACCACACTCCCCTGAGGAGATTCCAGTTGACCCGGTCTTCACACAAAGCTCCAACTCATAGGATGTAACCTCCGCGCTCCCTGCCTGGCCACCAGGGAGGCTGCCAAAGCAAGGCTGTCTCTGATGGCTCTTCTCTCTCGGTGGCGATCCCACAGTCTGCAGCGTAGAGCTCACTGAGAGAAAACGGAGGGTAGCCAGCCGGGCAGACAGCACCAGCACTCCACAGAGAAGAAAAGCAAGTCTCAAGGAAATTCAGAAACTTGCCACGATCACACAGCAAGCAAGTGGTTCTGCATTTACCAGATCAAATACTCCCTAATTGTACCTGACATCCCGGTGTCCATTTTGTCACTACCAACTAGTACTTCCTGATCCCTTCCTTTTTCCCCCACCCAGCCCCCAACCTCACTTTTCCTCCAGCAACTATCAGTCTGTTTTCCGTGTCCATAATTCCACTTCTGTTTTATTTATTTTGCTCTTTATATGGTATCTGTCTTTATCTAGTCCAGTGGTCAGCAAACTGTGGCTCTGTTGACTAATGGGTTTGTCAACCACTGCCTTAGGGAAAAACACTTAAAAAAC